TTTGCCAGCAGGTTCATACTTAATCAGGATTCTTTGTTTTTCCAGCAGGCTGTTCTGGTTAGTCTGAGTTCACACTTGCTTATCTGCAGATTGATTGTTAAATTGAACCTATTCAATTCCATTTTGTGGAAGCAGAGCAGCTTTAGTAACAACTCAAATCACCACAGAAGATACAAGAATGCATTAAATTTGTCTCCAAAACACTTGCTAAAAGTTTTTTTTTTTTTCTAATTCATATGGGGAAAAATGTGCCTTTATTTGTTAGTGTAGAGAAACAAATTATGTGGGAATTGTGAAAACGCGAAGACTCCGTCATTGCAAGTCACCTATTACCTATTAAAAAAACTGACATGAACCTTTAAAACTTTAATTTCAAAAACAACAAATTAAATCCAAATTAGGGTTTTTTTGTGGTTAAAAACAAAATTAGAAATATCTCTAATTTATCTTTACACAATCAGGGAATTCAGTCCCTCTATGATGCAGTATAGATATCATTTGGAATGATATCCAGTTTTTTTTCTCACTGAGTGTCCTGAGTCAGTGTGAAACTGAAGTAACTGATTGCTACTTCAGTTTCACACTGACTAACACTCAGTTTAACGATGAGAAACTCTGTCACGGTACTGGGTCTGTGACAATTCTGGTTTAAGTTATTTTCTTTGACATGTTGTTTTTCATGGATTTGATTCCCTTTATTGTTTTCTGCTTGTGTTATATTTATAGTTCATAGTCTTTAGTTTTGTCACTGTCTTCCTTGTGTTCCACATTTAGTTACTATTGTCTCCATGATTCACGTTCCCTCTCTGTTTCCCTAGTCAGTCATGTCTCCTGTTTTATTTTATAGTCCCTTGCCCAGTGTTCAGTTTATTTAGTTTTGCTTCTTCCCTGTCTCATTGTGTCTGATTAGTTCCAGCTTCCCTTCTGTTTCCCATCCCCTCATTATCCTTTGTGTATTTAATCCTCTGTCTTTCTTTGCCTGTCTGTATAGCTCCCCCTCTGTTTCTCATGTTCTCTTTCACCAAAAATCACAAAATTTTTTATCCATGCCCAAATACTACTAGTACTAGTAATATTCACAGTGAGTGGGCAATTCAGGGTTCAGTATCTTGAACAGAACACCTCAAGAAACTGGTAAATTCCTTGTACCAACCAACCAGGCCACCTTAGATCTTCAAAATTAGTTAATGTTAATTTTCAAAGTGTTATTAGTCTTCATAGCTGTCACGTTATCAGACTGTTTACCTGTAGCCTTTATTCAAAATGGTATCTTGAGCCAAAAATAATTTTATCAGACCTGAAAAAAAAAACCACAACTCAGACATGAGGATTGATGTATATGTTGTTAAGAAAAAGAAATATTTTTTAATGTGTATCTGCTCATTAGATTGTTTTATGTACTTTAATAATGAAGGCTTGTAGAGCAAGGCCACTTTTGACTCACAAACTAAGTGCTCAGCCAGACTGAAAAACAGGAAGTTTTAGTGCACAGCCAATAGATAAGACACTGAAATGAGGAACTTTCCATATAAGCAATGTTTGAGACTGTGTGACGTGTAAAGTACCAAAATAAAACCTATATGAGGCACAGTTTATGATTCTAATGTCAGAGATCCTGCAACTGGCGTTTGGGCTGTGCAGGGGTCTCTCTCTTCCGGAAGATGATTGAACAAAAAGAAATATAAATGTTTTAACACACTATGAGTTGGTTTTCTCTGTTCTATCACGGGGACAAAATAATCGGGGTTTAATAATGTGAATATACATTATTAGCCTTTCTGTCTTAATTGTAAAGTCATTCTTATTTGTGTAGCAGATTTAAAACCACAGAATCTGTCCCAAATCAGGTAGATTTACACCACATTTACAAAAGACATGAAGAGTAACCTGTATTTTTTGTACTAATTTAAATAAGAGCTTTTGTTTTATCCCATAGTTATGAAATACAGGCTTTACAGTGAAACAGTTGGTGATACACTTCATACCTAATTGCATAAAACATTGCTCTCTCCTACATAAGCTCCATTATAGGTTAAAAGAATTGGTATTAGTACTTGTTAAATGCAGTACTGGCCTGTGTAGTGATCGTGTGTGTCATACACACACACACGACTAATCATCCTCTTTGAGATTGATTGATTTATTGATTGACTTGTGTTATTATTGTGCGATAGAATGTCAAAATGCTCCTAACTGCTGATATTTGTCTGTCTAACCTGCTTACATCTCCTTGTTCATGTGAAAAAATAATTTCTGCATTTTAAACAGCTCGAATCGCATAAGAAGGCAGTGACATCATTTCAGAGAAACTGAGCCTTTGGTCACGTGATAATATAAAACAGACACAGGCTTTATTTGGACATGCGACTTTACTGGACCTTTACAGGACACAGGCTTCAGTGTCAGATGTAACATCACTAGTCCTGTATTTACTTCTTATTGGATCAGCACCAGTCACACGTCACTGCACTTTGGGGCCCTACGGTAGGAGGCGCCTATTGAAAATGTCTGATCAAAGTAGCTCCCCCTCTACCTTACACTATATGCTGATATTCACAGTATTACGGTAAACACCATTACAAGAGATCTACTATATGTTTAAGCCATGATTTTATTTTGTGAACCAAACTGGACAAATTTTGTGAAACACTTTGCTGGAAAAGAGAAATGCTTATACTTCCATGAGTCACTAGAGGGAACCAAAGGACAACAAAAACAGCTTCTTCAAAACACACAACAGTTTCAATCTATAGTAATCTAGAGTTTTAGCTTATTACCTACAGCTGTCTGCTGTGTTTTTTAAAGAAAACAGAAATATACAAACAGCATTTATAAAATATGAACATATTTATCTAGTCTATGAACATGTTAATTTCCCCAACAATGATGTGGTTAGCACTAGTGATGTGACGTTCTGTATCGAGGCTTCGAAGCT